TGATGAACTTTCCTCAATAATATTCATTTGTAAATATTTATTGGGGGTTACATTTTTAAATACTGTTATCTTTATTCCCCAAACTCCAATAAGGCCGGAGCGTAACGTTGTAATAAATATGGCGACAAAGATGAGGACAATAGTCCGAATAATGTAAATAATCTTCATCTTAAATTCTCAAATATACCCTCTTGTTAACAGACTAAAAGACAAAGTGAAAAAGACCTTACAGCCACACACCTCACCAATTTTAGACGACGTCATTTGACCGGAATTAGAGATTTAAAAAAAAATGAATAGGACAAAGTAGTTACCAGAAAAATCTTTATCAGCTGCTGTGACAAAAGGATTAGTGATGCTAGCACTGAAGTCAGTTACGCCCAAAGGATTTAAGATTTAACTCAATTAAAACAAAAACGACTGTCCGATAACAAAAATCGAAGAATGCAAAACTTCGATGACTCGCGAAAGCCTTAACACGCTTCCAAATGTGTACTAAATAAAATGTAAAAATGAAAAATATACAAAGATTATTCATTCCATCAGTTTTTACAATTATATATGTAATTATATATCATTATATAATATATATATATTTATATACAATTATATATAATTATATACAATTATATATAATTGTATATAATTATATAAATTGTATATATTCATATATAATTATAAACAATTATATATAATTATATATAATTATATATAATTATATATAATAATATAGAATTATATATTCTTGCAGCTCCAGGCGATATACACACACACACACATACCCACGTATACATATATTTCTTATCACCTTAAAAAGGTTATTTTTAGTCAATACACGTATTTAAGTATGTGCTTTGTTCAACTACATACCTACTTTTGTATATATAGCCGCATAGCCGACCATCACACACACACACACACATATATATATATATATATATATATATATATATATATATATATATATATGGTTAATTTTATGAAGAGTTGAATCAGACCAGGAAACAGTAGTATTAAAAAGTGCTCAATACACGTGTGAAAAAATAGAATAAAATAAAAGTAAAAATAATATGTACAACTTTAAAAATCAGGAGGTCAAGCGATGAATGTTGAGGTACAGCCTTATTTCACTCTGAAAAAGTTGCCTTGCTTGGCGTGAAATGATCAATATATATATATATATATATATATATATATATATATAAATCAGATCATCAGTTTAATCCCCTACCTTGGTTTCAAACATGCTATCCTCGGGCGATTTTTATCAAATGAACTCTTAACGATTTGTTATAATAAAAAATTAATGAACGCTATATTATTTTTTTTTAGAAAATAAATAAACAAACGCACGACGAAGAGTAGGACGGGTGAAGAAGAAGAAGAAGAAGAAGAAGAAGAAGAAGAAGAAGAAGAAGAAGAACAACAACAACAACAACAACAACAACAACAACAACAAGGGGGAAGGAAAGAAAAGCAAGGGTATTATAAATGCATCGTCGGGGTGGGGTAATGGAAATGATAAAAATCGCCTGTGGATACCGTAAGGTTTAAACTGATGGAGTGGGTTCAACTGACATTCTGATTTTTAAAGTATATATATATATATATATCATTTCATTTCACCGCAAGAAAAGCAACTTTTTCAGAGTGTAATAAGTTTGTGTCTCAACATTCATTGGGTGACGTTTTTTCTTCATCTTTGATGAAATTTTCCAGTATTCATCGCCATATTATAGATTAAACATGACTTTGCTCGTTTCTTATTTTCGATCAATTAATACCCTGTTCCGTGTGTTTTTTTCTTTTATTTTATTTTAAATCTTCACCCTAAGTTAGACAATAAAGTTAACACGCAAGTTACTGAATAATATAAAATATGAGGGAAACACTATTAAGGAGAGAGAACAATAAAAGAACATCTATTAAGACTGAAGATAACGATTCACATTGCATTTAAATTTTTGAGGGTCAAATTTGACTAGGAAGTAAGAAGACAGAAGAAATTTTCAAAAGCGAGAAGTGCAATAGAAGGCAACGTCAGCATAGAACTTACGGTTACATCTATCTAATTTGATTTGTTGTCAATCTAGTGTTGCGGTTAAATTCATTACGTCTAATTATCATAGAGAAAAGTTATAGAAAATATACAGGGTATCCGCCGAATATAAATCTCGACATATGAGGGTCGGTAAATATTTCTATTGGAAAATATACAATTTTAATTAGAATCAAGCTACACAAAAAACTGATGTGAATACCATCCAGACCCAGTTACAGAGAAAGACATGTAAAAATTTAATGTGATTTTACAATACACACAGACAGAACAATCCAAGCTAAACGCCCAGACATTGTGTTCAAAGGCCTCAAAAAGAAAATATGCTTTCTTATTAACAATGATTTATATTTGTTTCAATCATTTCGCCACAAGCAAGGCAATAAAGCCACTAAGACACAAGGGGTTACTGAATGTGTGAGAATAAGAACTATAAAAACAATATTAAGGCGCCAGAATAATGAAAGTGGAATCAAGATAACAGAAGATAGCAATTGACATTGTATTTGAATTTTTAAAGATCAAATTGATGAGACCTTACTACCAACGTAGTACCGCGCTTAAATTCATAAAGTCTAGATACGGTAAAGGAAAGTTCATCAGAACAATTATTATGATGACATTTATAGAAAAAAAATACAGAAAACTATAGAAAATGTGAGAGTGACTGAAGCCGAGATGCCAGGTCAGGCACAATAATACTGCAAATTCTTGTTTGAATTTTATCGAGAACTTTTCACTGTATAACAGGAAAATGTGAAAGCAATATTCGAAGCAGAGTCGACCATTTGACTTATAAATGCATGAGAATCGATATAAATGCCCGGAGAGAAAAAAAAATAATCAATTTTCCTCGCAGCAGTCCTAGCAATTGATTCAGTATAATCTTTCCTCTTTATGTCAGCAGAGAACGTTAGGCCGAGAAGGCGCCGTGCCTCACTCTCCTGAAGGTTAACACCGGCCAGGCTAATGTAATGAGAAAAGTCTCTCAGATACAGCTTGTAATGTATCTTTGAAGACCTTCAGAAAACAAGTTTTGAAATGGCAATTTAAAAAATGTGGCATATGAAAATGTCGCAGCCTGACGACGAGAACATGAAGTTTTAGAAAGTACTTGCTGCTCCAAAAATACACCAGATTCAACTGATAACAATTTTATATATAAGGATCGCATCATTCAGTGGATTGTTAGTAGGTTAATGTTTATATTAAGTCTGTTACCGAAGAGAATTCGCTATTAATTGCATTAATATGACTAATTGATTCAATGTATGATTATCTCTTTATAATATAAAATATATCCTTCCTAATATATATATATATATATACATATATATATATATATATATATATATATATATATATATATATATATATATATATATATAATTCTGTTGGTCATTGGGGCTCTCAACATTGTGTTTAACAACGAAAGATGCGACGTGACGCAAATAAAGTCTTCGTTTTATCGAACGAAAATATTTTCGTAGTGAAGGCTGTGGTCAATGAACATTCCCGAAGGTGCCAGAACATATTTCAAGCGACAGTAACCAACTGGCGTCATGGTTTGGGTTGCTGTTAATTTTGATGGTTCGAATAGACCTTGGTGTGCATTGAAGAAGGAGAGAAAGTCAATAACAGAGTTTACAAAAATGTCGGAGGGAGATTTGTTACCCTGTTTGTCAGCCATATTTACGCCTTCACTCGAGACGGTGTTCCCGTACACAAGGTCAATTTGACGCAGAACTATGACAGGAGACATTTTCGTGGATTTTTTGACGAATCAGTTTGTCCCCCAACGATCCCTGATATTAATCTTATAGACTTTGTGTTGTGGCCCACATTGGAGGGCGATGTTTCACGTACTTCATTCTCAAGTGTGCCAGAGCTTACAGGCTTGGCTTGCCTTGGCTTGTTTCACGGCATATCAACCTCGATGGGTTATTTAATGCTGACAACTTTTTTCTTGGTATTATTTTGTTTTGTCAAAAATCTATTTCTGGTAATATTTTTTTTCCTCAAAAATGTAAAGCTGGTAATATTATTTTCCAAAAACGTATTGCTGGCAATAATTTTTTTTTCAAAAATGTATTGCTGGTAATTTTTTTTTTCAAAAATGTATTGGTGGTAATATTTTTTTTCTTCAAAAATTGATTTCCGGTAATAATTTTTTACAAAGTATCTCTCGTATTAAAACCTATTTTTACACTTTTATAATGCTTTTTACCTCAATTTCGGAGTTTTCTATTTTCCCATAGCTTGAACCCTAACAGGTGCTACCACCCCAAGTGACCAGCAATTAAGAGGTGGTTCCACGTTCCTCAAAACCTCCTGATCAGAGGCCTTGCTGTTGGACGTAGTTTATCGTCTTACCCAGGACGGAGAGCTTACAGAAGCCCTTGTGAATTCGTGGTAAAATCTGATCAAAATGTCATATACTTCAATTGAGCAAATATTAAGGAATATGGTGAAAGCAAAGGGTGGGTATTTATAATTGCAAATATTTGTAAAATATTATCAATAATTATAACAATCAACCTGTAAACTTTCATTAACCAAAACATTTTTTTTATTTTATGATAAAATGAAGAATAGTACAGACAGGCACCCAGTATTTTCGTGATCAACCCAACCAGGCACCCAATCATTAGGTCCAACCAATGTAGCTCTACATTCATCATTAAAAATTACTATTGATAAATATGTTGTTACTTCATCGTTCATCTTACATGTATGACTCAGCTTGCTTTCATGTCTTTAGCCAGTGTCTACTGTATGCTTTTGTTCTCTATTTATATTCGCAATAAAAGCCTCTTCAAATATCTTCTTGAGGGTCAACCAAATTTTCTTTCCTTTCTGTTAAAATTCTACTCAAATATTTTTGTAACACTTTTTCCTTTCTTCTTATATTCTAGTAGTTTTCGTTTTTTGTTTTTTTTTTATGCACGGTGTTGCATTTACATCAAGCAGTGCCATTGCAATATCTTGTTTCACTTTTGATCCGTTCCCGCTTTGCGAGACGGTTAAAATGTCGTAGCAATTCATCGGGAATATTGAGGAGCATAGCTTCGGCGACGGCCACACGGGTGACGGCGCGAATTCGAATCGTCGGCATTGCCGTGCAACTCGCCACCGCGGGTTCACAATCGTCGATGCAGTCGTTGCGGCCGTCTCGCTTCTTGTCCCCTTCGAGGTGTCTCACTTCTCATCTCTGGCGTGTCGTCTAGCTTCTCGTCCCCTTCGAAGCGTCTCGCTTCTCACCCTCTTCGAGGCGTCTAGCTTCTCATCCACGATGTGGCGTCTTGCTTCTCGTCCCCTTCGAGGTGTTTTGCTTCTCTTCTCCGGCGTGGTGTCTAGCTTCTCGTCCCCTTCGAAGCGTCTCGTTTCTCGTCCCAATTGAGGCGTCTAGCTTCTCGTCCCAATCGAGGCGTCTAGCTTCTCGTCCCCTTCGAGGCGTCTGGCTTCTCGTTCCCGACGTGGTATCTTGCTTCTCGTCCCCTTCAAAGCGTCTCGCTTCTCGTCTCCGGCGTGGTGTCTAGCTGTTCGTCCTCTTCGAGGCGTCTAGCTTCTAATCCCTGACGTGGAGTCTCGCTTCTCGTCCCCTTCGAGACGTTTCGCTTCTCGTCTCCGGCGTGGCGTCTCGCTTCTCGTCCCCTTTGAGATGTTTCGCTTTTCGTCTCCGGCGTGGCGTCTCGCTTCTCGTCCCCTTTGAGATGCTTCGCTTCTCGTCTCCGGCGTGGCGTCTAGCTTCTCGTCCCCTTCGAAGCGTCTCGTTTCTCGTCCCAATCGAGGCGTCTAGCTTCTCGTCTCCCTCAAAGCGTCTCGCTTCTCGTCTCCGGCGTGGTGTCTAGCTTCTCGTCCTCTTCGAGGCGTCTAGCTTCTAATCCCCGACGTGGAGTCTCGCTTCTCGTCCCCTTCGAGATGTCCCTCTTCTCTTCTCCTGGGTGGCGTCTAGCTTCTCGTTTCCTTCGAAGCGTCTCGCTTCTCGTCCCAATCGAGGCGTCTATCTTCTCGTCCCCGGCGTGGTATCTTTCTTCGCGTCCCCTTCGAAGCGTCTTGCTTCTCGTCTCCGGCGTGGCGTCTAGCTTCTCGTCCCCTTCGAAGCGTTTCGCTTCTCGTCGACGGTGCTCTCCTTTTCTGTTTCGGTTCCACCTCGCGAGTCGTTTGCTACAAGTGTCCGTATCTTGCACACGACACATGAAAGGTTTATATATATAAAAGTATGGTTATTTACAACATGAAAAACATTCATCGAATTGCAGTTAATACAATATCAAACTGAATAAATTTTAAATAATTCTTATAAAAACATATATTTTTTCCCTCTCTGGGCCGTGTCTATTCAGGGCGTTGGTGATCACTGCTCTCCACTATTTCCTGTCTTTTATAGTGCTGAATAAATTTTGTCTTTTTGTTAACTCTCCAAAAACCTGTTCTGGCATCCATTTACTCAAACTCGCTAAGACAGATATTACGTTACAGTTCACTAATATTTTCTTTGTTTCTAAAGAAATGTTGCTTTCTTAATACTTTGCTTAGCTTTTGGAAGGCTTCTTTCGCTATACCAATGCGTCTTCGAATTTCAGTGTCGCACTTTCTGTCCTCAGTTAAAACACTTCCAAAATATTTAAATTGTTGTACCTGTTTATTGTTGCTATCACCAATTTGTAATGTGCATCTACGATTGTGCAGCTTGCTAACAACCATTCATTCTGTCTTCTTGCATATGACAAGCTGGAATTCGCATGGTATGTTTTACATATAAATTTATGTGCTGAAATTTTTGCTAACACCATTTGGTTTATTATGCTTGGGAAAAATATGCTCTTGTTTAATAAAATCGGTCACCGTATATAATATGAAAAATGAAATATTTTCTAATGGAATATCCTTAAAACAGAAATGTCTGCACTACAGGGAAAAAAAATAACAGATAATTCAATCATCGAGAAATGCAATGGTTTAATTGCGAAGAATTATAGTGAGAGTGCCGTTGTTCATGTTCCATCATTTTTATCTTGATTTTTCTATTAGATTTTGATTTACTTTATCTGTTTAAGCACAAGCCTCTTCTTTATTAGTCAGCAGACGATCGTAATATAAGAGACATAAATTGTATGACTATCTTTCTTCATCATCATCCATATATGTTTATTTGATTTTTGTAAACATAAATTGTGTGTATGTATGTAGATAGATAGATAGATAGATAGATAGATAGATAGATAGATAGATAGATAGATAGATAGATCATTCAATCGCTTTTGTAAAAATGCTAACGGAAGGTACTAGTGAGGTAAATCTTAGCTGATAAAACTCATTTAAAATAAATTAAGAGAAGTTGCTGAATAGTTCTACACCGAACCAAAAACGTTTTATAAACTCTAATGTTTGATGATTTGGCCAAAGTTTCAGCACATCCACGAAGTCTTGAAAAGTAGTTCCACAATAAAAAAGTTTCTAAGAAAACTAAAAAAGAAAAATCAGGGACATATAAAACGAGACAGATTCTTGTTTTACTGCTATTGTCCTTATTTTTTGTGTCCAGATAGATAGATAGATAGATAGATAGATAGATAGATAGATAGATAGATAAATTATGGAATAAAATAAATAGATAATTTATGGAATTAGATAGATAGATAGATAGATAGAATCAAAATACCAAAGAAAGAAAGAAAGAAAGAAAGAAAGAAAGAAAGAAAGAAAGAAAACGATATCTCAAAGGATAAACTGAAATAAAGAGAGAGACAAGAAACAGCGAATAATGCTGACTATACTTTTTCTTGCTTACACTGTCATGGAGCTGCTGTACTTTTCTTTCCGAGTCCGCCATTAACACAGTGTCATCTGTGTATGTTATATTGTTAAGATTATGACCACCGATAAAAAAAACCAGTTAGAGTCTCCAGTTTCCTTAAGATTGCGTCGTTGTAGAGGTTGAATATATCTGGAGAGAAGAGGCATCCTTGTCTCACGCCCCTTTCTATTGTTATGTAGCTATTAAATTCATTTTCTCTTCGTATTCAGGCGGAGTTTTTGCAGTATAAATTCTTGATTATTATAAAATCTTTTTTCTAAATAGATCGAATTTTCCTAGCAGTTCAAATAGATCCTCGTGCCACACTTTTTCGAATGCTTTTGCGTAATCTATAAAACAAAGGAAGGACATGTTTCGTGGATCAGATAATTCGAAAATAAATGCAATAAATATCAACCATTCAAATTATTAGTTTGTTAGATAAACTTCACATGTTAGTTAACACAATTTGAACAACCAGAAAGAAGAATGTGAAGTATATACTTGGATACAAGTAATATACGAGATGTGACAATTTAATTCCTTGAATGATCACATTTTGTCAGTGGGATAATAAATCATCATTTGTTACCGAGCAGTAATGGAAGTTGCACGTAATCATGTTATGCGGTCATTGAAAAATAAGAGAAAAGAATCTAGAGCGGCAGACTAGCATCAATTTTATTTGTTAAGATTACTAAAACTACTAGTGAAACGTTAGCCATATTAGATGGTTTATTGTAATTCTAGTTAATTCCCCAGACTTAGCAACCTGTGAATGTTGGGCTATTTCCAAAACTGACAAATATCCCGGCAGGGCAAAGATTCGGCGAATTCGCTGACATCTAGTAACACGTAAGCTAGAAAGTGTAGAAATGATGCTTTGAGAACTTGTACATCATTAAGCCCCATCACAAAATGTCCGTGCTAGAATTGTTTGAAGGGAAGAAAGAGGGAATTAAGAGAACTTGTCAAGTAGAGGTATTAGCAAACACAGCATTACCACAAGCTGTCAGAGTTTCAGACGGGGTGTGGACAGTGGCCACACAGAAAGCAATCAGCTTGTCTAGGGTATGTGGGGGAGAGTCCACAAGGACATTAAAAGTGAAACCACTATTATCCTTGTTAAAATTGCCCCTGGGATGTTCGGCATTTTGGATATCTATTTCCTTACCCACCTAAAACCAGGAAGAAGAAAGATATGAAGAGAAAGATTCAATTATAGAATTGATTGGCAGAAGCTTAGTAAATTGTACAGAGTTTTGGGGAGCCAATAGTGAGGGGATTCCCCAGTGTTACCTTGAATAAAATGTCAGGGCTAATGAAGCTGATTGAAAAGATCGATATGGGTTACTGATTTGTATTCTGGTAAACGATTTCGAAGTTTGTTTCCATTAATGGTTTACCTGATGAAACGTCATATTTCAAAATAGAAAAGATCAGTCTGCCAAGTATCAGAAAAAGAACTTGATCGCAGAAAGGTTTTTTTTTTCTTTATTTCTATTGAAGTCATAGGATTAGCATTCAAATCCTTCGAAAAGCCTGAAAACATCTCTAAGATGCAAGAAATATAGCGTGTACAATTAAACAGTTCTTTCAATTAGCAAAAAGAGATAAACGTGTTTCGAATTTCACAATCGTCATCTTCAGAAAGCTGCACATAAAACAGGTTTTTAAAACGCGTAGCCGCAGGAACGAATCAAAGAAGTAACAAAAGAGCGGAATTTGACAAAATTACAGAACAGGAACTTAAGAAATTAAGATAAAGAAAAGGAGAAAGGAATAAAATAACATTCAAATACAAGTTTTCCCTCCACTGATCAGCTTCACATTTGTTTTATTAGCTTTCTTTTCTTTTCTTTTTTTCAATCCAGTCTTCCTCTTCGACTTCCACTTCTTACAACCGTAAATCGCAACCTCTTAACCTGACTCCTTAGAGAGCATTAACTCAATGACTGTTTGATCGCTTTTCTGCTTGCGCTCCATCTTGTTAATCCAGTCTGAAAAAGGAATTCCAGTTTCTCTTCAACATGGCTGCTTCCAGCTCTAATCTGTCTTCTGCAGCGCCGTGATGCTTGAACGTGCGTCCTTCTGCTGCATTCACAAACGAGAGCTTGTTGCCTGCAGCACACATATCTACCTCCTTCAGTCAGAAGAGCGTAGCAACGAGCCAGTAATTCACTTGCTCTAAACCATGCACCGGGGGGTTCTGTAAAGTTCTTCGTTCAACCAAGAAAACGCTATTTCTTTACTTAGATTTTTGTGAAGTGGGCAAGGAAGAAAACATATGAAATACCTCTACATAACTTACCTTGTCTTAAAATTTGAATTAGACATTTTCTCCTACTCTATCGCTGTTTATATGGAAAACGTTCTGAAGACCTACATATTTATGATCAATTCATCTCAAGCAAGGGGCTAATGTGAGTGAAAGACAATGAGAAGACTTTAGTAGTAACCGAAAATCTAATGCTAAAGAGACAAGGAATAAACCTATACCCCTGTTCATAAGATCGGGGAAGAATATGAATCGGCTGATAGGTGAAACTATTTCTTCCTATTGAGGAAAAAAAGGTAAAACATAAATATATTACTCGGGTGGAAGTTTTCTATTGATATTAAGTAACAATGTGATAACTCAGAATTTTAATAGAAGAATATATATATATATATATATATATATATATATATATATATATATATATATATATATATATATATATATCAATTGGAAGTTTACTATTGATATTAAGAAATAATTTGATAACTCAGAAATTTTAATAGAAGAATATACATATATGTATATAAATATATATATATATATATATATATATTAATCGTGTGGAACTTTTCTAGCGATATCAAGTAACAATTTGATAACTCAGAAATTTTAATAGAATATGTATATATATATTAATAAAATATATATATATACCTAAATAATTTGATAACTCAGAAAATTTAATAGAAGAATATATATATATATAAGACGATATATATATATATATATATATATATATATATATATATATATATATATATATATATATA